AAACAAAAAACATCAAAAAGTACACAATAAAATCGAGCCATTTCCACATAAATCATCAGGTCTAAAAATAAAGATACTAAAAATAATATCAATAACAGCAACAGAAGCCCCCTAAACAATACCCCAGCCCAATAGTCTGTTCAGCAGTCTCAGCTTTTGCAGTCAGTCCGGGCCCTGCCTTCCCAGGCCAGGTGGGGAAAGGGCCAGCAAGGCAGGAATCCGGTCTTCCAGGACTTCTAGCCAAGATGGTCAGCTCAGCTCAGACCTGAGAGAGTCAGTGCCTGCACTGAGTTAAATGGACTAGTGGACGGAATCTGTTTAAGGCAGCTTCCTATGTTAGCATAAGGGACCAATTTAGAAGCATTTGGCTGTGCAAGCTCAACTCTGCCTGCCTACCACTTCCCCACTCCAAACCACCACCACCCCTGCTGTTTCTCCCTCTGCTAGGATTCAGGTCCTTGCTTGTGATCGAAACAGAGACTTAGCAGTGCGACTGGCACATTTAACTTCAGAAGGCAGAATACCTCAATCCCAACATGAGACTGCCGAGTAATGCTACTTGCTTTTGAATGGCCAGTGTAAGAGTGTCTCTGAAAGCATAGATTCATTTTTAAATTTTGTGCTACTTTATTATTTGCTAGGTAACCCGTCCTGTTTACATATGCTTATCTGTGCTCATTTTTTCAGAAAGCAGCCCAGCAAGCCCACAACACGAGCCGCCTCTAAAAATCAAAGCCCTGGTGCAGTTCCTCCTCCAAACCGTCGAAAGTTAGCAGGGAGAAAGCAGTCACCTGCCGTTGCAAAATCCAATAAATCTCCTGGGGCACAGTAAGTATGGAAATGAAAGCCACTTCCAGCTTGTGAATATCTCTACGCCGTCTTCTCCAGAGTAATTTCACCGTGCTTTTTGGTTTGTTTTTCAGTTCAAGGTTACAGCCCACCAAGCGCAAAAGAGAAGCCAGTCCCTTGGTGTCGCCTAAGAAAAGTCAGCAGAGGGGCGATGAACCTGAGGCGAAGAAGTCCAAGCGATAGTTTTGCCCCATGCCAGACAAACGGGGAAGGGAAAACAAACAAACTCTCCTCTGCTTCTTTGTAAAACAAAGAGGCTTTGCATGCGCTTGTTTCCAAGGTATAACATGTTACCTATGTAACATATTTAAACAGCTTTATACACTATTTGTTTATGCAGAAGTCTATAAGCATTGCAAAAGTTTACTTTGAACCTCAAGTAGAGATGGTCGAGAGTGACTCGCTGATGCTTCCAATCTGCTCATCACCAGTGGCCTCTTAATGACACCCTTTGTACATAAGCCACATATTTTAAAGAAGAATGTATTTTACTGCGTATGAACTTAATCAAACAGCAAGGACTGTTCTGCGGCTGTTCTGATGTTATCTTACGTTGGTCATTTTAACTGGATTCTTAAATGTTGTGCAGCCATCATTAGCATTGTCTAGGACGCGGGAAGGGACTCCTTTTCAGTGAACTCAACAAATCTCTGATTAACTGGCAAAGTACTTTCCTGCATGTATTCAAGTCAAGTAGAATTAGTATAAGGAGGAGACTTTACTTTCTTTCCTCACACTCGTGGCTTTCTGTATGGTAAAATTTTAAAACTGCATTTACAGTGCTTAGTAAATGCACCCTATTCACTTGGAAATATATTATCATCTGTAAATTTTATCCCAGCGTCAAAGTAGTTAGAGTTCATTCAGATAGAACTAGACCCCTTCAGCTGAAACAGTGGAAACTGTCTCATTTTGAAGCTTCTAAATGTTTTTCTCTCAGTATTTCATTTTTCAATTGAAACACTGAAATTAAAGTATCACCTTCAGGATTTAAAGATCTTCACCATTTATCTCACACTTTATATACTAGTATTAAAAGAGAATGTAGCGCCTGGCCCTGCTGCCAGAATCATTAGTATACTTACATTTTACTCTCACAAGAACAAATCTTCAAGTTCGGTTTCATGTAAAGTTTTGGGGGTTTTTTTTAATTATTATCAAAATTTGTCTCTTGCAAGGATGTGGTAAGTTGCCAAATAACCTGAGATTATTTTAAAATGTTCATATTCATGTTTTATAACCAAATTCAGCATTCTATGTTTTTTTAATTTGTTTTCTTTTTGTTTTGGGGACTTTTATTGTTGTAATGTGATTTTTTCTGTCAAATATTCTACTTTGTTTCTTACTGAATTTTTATATATAAATTATAAAACATTTCCCAAAACTAGAGTCCTGTATTTTTTTTTAAGTCGCTAGATTAACTTTTTCAGTGGGTAAGAAAATTTTGTTATGTTCAAAGGACACGATCCAAATAACATTTAACTCTCTTTAAAATTGGGAAATTGAGAAGCACAAGGTGTTCCCTCAGTTGAAATCACAGGAACTCAGTGGCACTTAGTGTTGGTTGGATTGTGCCTTTAATGTGTAGATTATTGTAAACTAAATGCACAAACAGCAGAGGAGAACAGAGAGCGTCATGGTCATGGATTATTCGGCGCTGTTAATTAGAAAAAATGGCAGATAAAGATGATTAGTGACATTATGGGGAGCTGCCACAAGTTTCATCCTCCGTCTCAGACTAAGACAGTCCTCCAGTTTTCAGCTTGGCCTTATCTATCACTCCCCTGCTAATCCTTTGATTGGTTCAGATGCTAGGAGATCCTCCACACACCAGTTTGGGGGAAGTAACATCTGACCCAGCATATTTCTGAGCACTGTTTCCTGGTGCCGACATATACATGCACATGCGAAGCAAGTACAAAGCCACAAAGTAACCTTGCCCCAGTAAGACGGGGAGATAAGCACACCAGCTACCCAGGTGAGCTTCACTAAGTGAGCTTTACCATCTCTTGCCTACAGGCCTGCTGTTTCTTGTTCTTCTGCTGAAACTCGTAAGTGCCTAAGTTGTTTGGCCTCCTAGAGATGACCTAGAGCTGCTGCATGCTCCTGTCTCTCGGGACGGGGCACTTGAATGCTGCATTGTATGGCAGGATTTGGGCTGGTTCTGATGCAAGCCAGCACAGAGACTTGGGGATGAGCAGTAAAGTTGATTCTTTATTCAAGGAAACAGAAAACAAGCAGAGAAACCTACAGGCAAGACTGACCCTGGTAAAGCAGTTGCCAGAACTGACTATCTGTGCCTCTCCCTTCCCCCTAAGTCTCCTCCCCGGCCGGCTGTTTCCCCAGCAGTCTTGAGCTCCATTGGGGAGGAGGGCCCTGTGCTCTTTGCTACATGCACTGCCCTGTGTGTTCTTGGAGACAAGGGAGGAGGGAATCTGAATACAGTATGACCCGCAGGCTCCTGTGAATCTGTCGCAGCCTCAGCCCCCACCTTCTCACTGGTCTATCCTACATCTGCAGTTCTTTCTGCCTCTGGGATGGGATTAGCCAGAGAAAGCGGGGGCTGGGGGTGGGCAATTGCAGTGGTCCTGGGTAAAAGACTATATGGTATGAGAGGGGCAAACCCAGCAAGGGGCACACAGCACAGTTGGGGTTTGTGCCATATGTGGCCGCTAACCAGAGGAGTTGTGATTGGTGTATTAGCCCCTCAGGCCTAGCAATACTTCTTTTGAATGCCAGGTTGGTTTTAAATATGAGCTCTCTCATTCATGATTTGATTGTGGTTAAGGAGACTGGCCTGGTATGTGTTACTGAGACCTGGGTGGGTAAGCAGGGTGGGTTTGTGGGGAATTAAATACATGAATCCCTGTGGACCCACATGTGTGGGAGAACAAAAAAAATGTCTGGGTCCCTGCACACAGGGAGCCCCAGTAGCAGAGTATTAAACACAAAAATAAGCAGTACAGCGAAGTGTTAAGAATGCAGGTTGTTAAACCTTTCTATCCCATTCAGCTGCACACAGCAGCCGACCTCTTTCTACCCCTCTTGCAATGAGCAGGCCACACACTGTTAAGTAAATTTTAAATGCTTTACTTACAGATTCAAAGTTTCAGTCATTTCGTAGCAAGGAGAAACACAGGCAAAGTTCTATTGGGTAGAAAAATACAGTATATAGTTCCAGACACATGCTCTGAGCTTGGGAGCAAGCTTACACATGTCCTCCTTGATGGATTACATGATGCAGAAAGTGAGAGAGGAATGAGAAAGGCTTCACTTCCTCCCTCTCTGGAGGAGAGGGAACACGACTTAGCTGAGTCTGTCTAGCAATACAACTCTGTGGTCCTTAACCCCTTCATGCACTAATTAGCAGTCCTGCATAGTTATGTTTGACTGCAATCTCCCACAAGGTTGGCCTTGCTCAGCTGTGCCTACTCAGGTTACTCAGTCCTTCATCAGAGCAGGCTTGAGGGTTGGAGGGGTTGGGAGTTGCTGTAGTCTATAGGAAATTCATCTCTCTCTGGGTTTTCTGTCCACTTGAGTGGGCATCTAGCGTGTCGGTAACTGGTGCTGGGGAATATGAACTGATTAGGGATTCTGCTGGTTTACCTGTGACTTAAAGGCACACATACCTTTGTGGCTCTGGTGTGTTACAGTGAAGGAGAATGAAAAATAAAGCATTAACAATATCCAGCTCCCCCCCCCCCAACGAGGGGGTAGTTTTTTGCTGTTATTGTGTTGCTTGCTTACCTCAAAAAGGCACTTGAGTTGAATTTTTGGTAACATGTAAACAGGCAAAGTTCATTTTGGGGAATCCACTGCTGACAAACAACTGGGAGAAGAGGCAGGAGGGCCTTCCTGGCAGGATCCATGGATAGCAGGAGTAGAGCCAGGTGAAACTCAGCACTCAGGGAAGTAACTGACTCCCAGGTCAGCCACAACTGAGCGGGCCTTCAGACAGTTACTGGCAGGGATGTGTTTCCGCCTCCAGTTTTGAACATTCCACAGAAGCAGCAACCAAGGCCTACTAGGAAATCACTTTAATGGCCCACCATTTTGCATGAAGTTCAATTAATTGGCTAATCAGTTAAAAGGCAGATCAACTTAAAAAGAGATCACCAGACTTACTTTGAAGTATCTTGACTTGGGTCCTCTATACCCCTATGCACCTATCCTGGAGAGGAAACCGTTTAGCCAGAACCTGCCTTTCAACACCGTTGAGAAAATTAGTTGAAAGGACTGGTTATCCAAGCTCAGACATATGTATCACATCACTTAAACAGTGCAGGCAATCTACATTTCCTTCTTTCTTTTTTTCAGTCCCAGGTGCCAGGAAGCAATTGAACACTACAGGGGAATGCCAGATCAATTAGGTTTTGAGTTTTATTGTGACTTGTCACACATGTGATGCAATAATTTCTCTCTAAATGTCAAAGCTCATTAATGTGAGTGAGGAAGAAGAAATACAGGAAAGGGGTAATGGTTAACAATCACATGCATAATAGTCTGTCACCATTTTCAAGTCTAAAAAAAATAATTCTGGCTCAATGCCCCAAGAAAGCAGAAAGCTGGAAGATTTTCTTTTGAGACAATGATGTCTTTAAATATAAACACAAGTGCAGAATGCTTGAGTAACAGAATCCTTATTTAATTCAGTTCTCCCAGTAATGAGACTAAATTGGTTATTTGAATCTTTTTTTAAAAAAAGGGAAAAGGCTTGTTTGCTGGTGACAAAAATTATTCTGAGACATGAGCCCCACACACTCACCCATGGGTGATATAATATGAGTCCAGGCAAGGAAAGTAGGTTGTCCTGCTTTTATCACCCTGCCGGGGTGTGGAAACTGAGTGGAGCATGTTTTATGAAGAAACCCTACAAACAGAGTTTGGACTGCTTTTTTGAAATCAGAAGGTGATGTCTCTCCTCTGCAGCATGTCGCTTTTCTCTCTGACCAGTCTCTTTCCTCTTCCTCCTCCTCCTCCTCCCTGCCCCTCTTTCCCCTTCTTGGACTCTTCCCTCCGTCTGTCATTTCCCTCTGGAAAGCTCCCTTCTGCTGAGTCCCATATTTCATTCCCTGGCAGCCTCCACTGCCCTGCTACAGCCTCTCTTAGCTTCCTGCTAAGTTCTCCTCCCCAGTCCTCCACGGCTTTCCTGGGCCCTTGCCTGCTCTCTCCCTCCCTCCCTCCTCACCTCGGCCTTTCTGCATTCCCTCCCCTGGCAGCATGGCCAATGGCCACTGCCAACTAGAAGGGACAAAACTGTATGGACTCGTCTGACACAAAGCATGGTAGCTTCATATGAAAACACACTCAGAATATGAAGGCGTTGGAAACCACCACGATGCAGATGATTCACCTCTGGGAGATGCATCTTTCTGACAATCATGATGTGTGCTCCACTTCTAATCCAAATGGCCATCTATAGGCAACTTCCTTTAATCAGATTTCAGTACAAACGGTTGAAGAGAATGGAAGGAGAGAGGGAGCTGAAAAAGAAGAGTGTTAAAGCGGAATTACAGAGCTGGCTGGCTGGAATATATTTCAGTATCCTAAGTGCCAGAACCCAATCTTTAGCTCCAGATATGAGGTTACAAAAATGTCTTTTATTTTGCTTCCCAGCAGCTGTGACTTTAAGCTTTTAAAGATGACAAAACAGTTTTATCCAGCACAGTCAGCAAAATTCAGACATTTATTTCCCTGAGGTTGTAAACCTCTATAAAGAATGTTTGTATTTGAGTCCCCAGCTCTTAAATGAACATGGATCTTTTCCCTAAAAAAATAAGGAAAATAAGAAGAGAAAGATTGAAATCCTGATATTCTTACCATTCAAAGACAGGGAACAATCCAGTACTTTCAAGTGCCATTAGTGTCAGTGGGAGAAAATGAAGGATTCTCTCTACAGCTTCTGCACGGTAAGAGCTCTGACTCTGGACAGCTGAGATCCATGGCTGATTCAGTCATTTCTGTCTTTCTTAAAATAAGGGATTTATGGGTGGTCAGTATTTAGATCAGTTGAGCCACAATGGAACCACCCTCGTCCTGTTTTAGGCAGATATTCCATCAGTTCTTCTTTGGACTGTCATATTACACACCAGCAGTCATTCTACTCTAGTAGGCTACCTGAGATGCTTGTTTTATAACCCACCCTTTAATGAATATTTCAGTCCCAGAGTGTTTCCCTTCCATCTGGACTGTTATAAGAAATGTAGCTGTAACTATGAAATGGGTGCTTCTTCTCTCCCTCCATCTCTTCTACCTTTTGTCTTGCATATTTCAGACTGTAAACCTGAAAGTAGAGACTTTTTAAATTGAGCCACTCTGTTTGCTTTTTCACCTGTAGAGTAGGGTAAAAATCATTTAAATTACAGCTTTCTGGGAGATGGTGTTCCTAGAAATTAATTTAACAACAAAACAAGCATTGATACTGTTCCCTTCACTAGCGTTACTGGGGATATTAGATGGGCCAAATGGAGGCAGATTGGATAGAGAATTGATTCTATATCTGTTGTTAGCTGCCAGGATGGTTCTATTAAGAAAAGTGAAATATTTAGAGGAGTTAAATAAGGATTTATGGTGCAGTCAAATCAGATCCATAGTGATTGCTGAAAAATTAAGGTATAGTAGAAGATGAACAAACAAATATTTATTGAATTATGGTATAAAAACGTTTGGTACATAGCAATTGCCAACAAAATAACTCACAACCTCTGAGTCATAAAGGAAAAGAACCTGTGGAACATTTTTATGCAATCTTTCGGGACTTTTATGTTTCAGGTCCCCTTACCCACACCAGCAAAGGACATTTAGACGTCCTGAGCTACAGGACATCTCAACTATCTGAATATGAATGAACAATATGGATTCCTCAAAATTGACTTTCCATCTTTGAATGTCAGGGTTTTTTTTTTCCTTTTGTAATTTATTATTGTTATATGTAAAATATAAATGATGGTATTCATTTTGGGGGGAAACAATGATAATGAATAAATATTCATTTTCATATATGTACCAATGATGTGTTCTTTATATAAATGAGGACAACAATGTTCAAATGCCTCCATTGAAATATGCCACTACTTGGAAACATTAGTTACTCTTCAGCTTCCATATTGTAAGGCCCAGAGGCCAACATCCTGATACTTAAAAATAAAACAAATCTTTATGGAGGACACCTACCAAACAGTACCTCCATCCTCCACTGGAGTCAGTTTAAATTTGTTGGTCCCTGTCCATCCAGTTAATGACTCCTGGCACCTGCTCAGAACACAGCCTTGATGGATTTATAAAGCGTTTCAATGGCAAGTGAGCTGACATGCAAGGGGCATTACCAGCACTGTGCTCAGCATTTTAGGAAGCAAGGAGCAGGTGTGCACCACACAATTTTGAACCTCATGTCAGCTGATGGGCAGATGAACATGGTTTGAACTGGGGTGAAATTGGACCCATTGATAAGCCTGCAGACCAAAGGTTCCAGACCCCTGACACAGATGTTAAAAAGCATGAAGGATAATGGATACAACTGAAGCGTGTAGAACATCATAGCACAGTGTTGAAAATCTCCAGCACCATATTCTGGAAGCAATCTGCCAGTTTAGAATGGAACCACTGAGCTATACAGCCTGTCCCATTCCCTCCAGGCAACCCACAAGGATTGCTACTATTTAACCTAGAGTCCAGGTCAGAGCAGATGTGATTTCTAGAAAAATGCTCAGCAAACAAGTCACAGCAGGCTACCAAGGGTTCTAGACCACACTCCAAGAACTCTAAATAGAGGAGACTTCTCGCTATCCAGGAAAGCTCTACTTGGCAGCACAGAGCCGACACAGGAGTGGTGGTGAAGTCTTTCTTTTTGGCTAACAGTTCCCAGAGCAGTAGCTGTCTTAGTCTGTTGCAGCAAAAACAACAAAAGATGTCATGGCACTTTAAATACCAATTTCATTATTTGCATCTTATAAAGTGTATGCTTGTCCACATAAACTGCCATAACAAAATGTGTTATTTTTTAAAAATAAATAAATATGGCAGTCTTTGAGGTACCATAATTCTTTACTGGCATTCTTTTTTGCCGTCGTCATCATGACAAGATTGGCCTTGCCTTCAAGGGGATTTTGCCCATGTTCAGCCAGACTTGTATTGAGGTCTTCCCCACAACCAACCACAATCTACATTAAGCTGGATATTCAATTGTCCCCACAACTACTTCATTGCTGTCAGCTCCCTGGAATACCAAAGAACTGAGCTTACTCTGGTCAGCAATAGAGAATGTGTAAGAAGGTTGTGTTGACGAATATGCAGCTGTATTTAAATCTAATTGATAAATTAACCTGTTTCAGGGCAGATGATTAAGCAACTGACATTGTCCAATCAGTCCAATAAGTTATTTAAAAATCCAACTAATAAGCGCACAATCCAGCTAAATTTAAGAACTTCTAAATCACATTGATTTCCTCAGGAGACTGAAGTTGTGACTCTTAATTGAGAGTAAGCATCACTGAGACAGACACCAATAGGATTCTGCTACTAAGCAGCCAGTTGAACGAAAAAGAACATTTAACTTTCCCAGTCCTTTATTTAATAGCTAAAATGCTGTTGAAATAGAAATTATCAGCTGCAAGGTCATATCCCATCTTAGTGGTGCAGCAATAAAACTGCTAGCATGCTTTGTAAAAGCTAAGAAGGGTCAAATTGCGTGGGGGGGGGCGTGTGCTGAGATTTCCGCATTGCAGAAGGTTGGACTAGATGACCCTTGGGGTCCTTTCAAACTCTACAGTTCTCTGATTCTAATATCCTTCGCCCCACTCCGCTTCGGAAGGCAGTGATAGCCATATGCCTCTAGGTGGCGCACAATATCTATTTGTGTCTATGTACAGTATTGGGACGGGCTGTTTTTCCCCAAATACAAACTCATTGGGACCTGAGTGTTTCGGCTGTGTGCTCGGATTAAAAAGGTTGATCTTCCGAAACAAGTTGAGTTATATGCGCGGTTGATATTCCCCCGTGAGGCCGAGAAATACAGACCCTGCAAGTGTCCCTAGTTTCCAGGGGCGTCCCTGATTTCCCGGTTTCTGATCTGATTCTGGAATGTCCCGCTTTTCCTTAGGACATCCCTATTTTCATTTGAGAAATGTTGGAGGGTGTGGAGTTATCCGACCCTGGAGCCGTCTGAAGGCAATCCTGTAAAGCGAAGTTTTTTAAATGTGTAATGTTTTGTTGTGTTTTCATATGTGTTGAAAGCTGCCCAGAGTGGCTGGGGCAACCCAGTAAGATGCGTAGTATAAATACTAAAATTATCATTCTGGAATGGGACGTCTCTATTTTCATGGGGGAAACGTTGGAGGGTATGGAAATATATGAGGATGGACATAGATCAAGTGCTTCCTTACTTGCAATTCGTGCGCTTCACATCCCACCTCAGCATGAGCATAGCCAGGATATTTGTTGGAGGTGGGCAGAACTTCAGTTAGCTATGTTTTATATTGACGGGGGGGTTGCAGCGACCCCTCCCTGCCTCCCCTTAGCTGCGCCCAGCCCTGCAGTTAGCGACCAGTGACCGGGAGGGGGGGGAGACAGAGCTACCTTTTCACTCTACCTGCCGACTCAGATAGCAAGGACTATTTAACCCACGGTCTCATCCCTTTCAGCCCGGCCCTCATCCATACCGGCACCGTACCTAAACCACCAGGTTACTGTGCCAGAAGAACCCTCCCGCTTTAGATCTTCACAAAAAAGGAGAGGGGGAAATCTGATAGGAGATTCCCCCTCTCCCTTCAAGTCTACCTTGTGCAGCTGGATCCTTCCTATGCACCTTTACACGGGAGTAAATCTCTCTGAAGTCAATGGGAGTCTCCAATGAAGAAAGCGCGCCTACGAGTGCAGCCTTAGATGCTCACGGCCACATGTCTCTCCTCCTCCCTTGCCAGGTGAGCATCCCTGGCTCAAAGAAAGAGGGGGCGGGTTGGAGGCAGACACCCAGGTCGGATCCAGCTTCCTCTTCCGTCCTCTAGCTATGAATTAGCGTCCTGATAACAGCCCACTCCGAAGTCATGCTGGAGCAGCCAAATCCACAAGGTCAAAAACGGATACACCTCTGTGCGTCTCACGGGAAGTCAGACCACTGGTCCATTTAGTTCAGTATTGTCTACACGCACCAGGTGTGGGGAACCCTTTGGGCCGCCTGACGTTGCTGGACTACAACTCCTATCATCTGTGACCATTGGCCATGCTTGCTGAGGCTGATGGGAGTTGGAGTCCGGCAACAAATGACCGGCCAAAGGTTCCCCGGAGAAGTCTACACGAACTAGCAGCGGCTCTTTGGGGCTCCAGAGGAGTCTTCCCCAACCCTGGAGGTTGGATTTGGTGGGACCTGCTCTATCTATCGCTAAGCTGTGGAAGAAAGGCATCGCTGGAACCGCCTGCTCCTGTTCCCGGGAAGCGATTTCTCCTTGCATTTAGCGAGTGTGATTTTGGCATCAAAATTTTGGCCAAAACTAAAGCCTTGCGGATGGTGTTGGTTGCAAGGATAGAGCTGAGTAGGCGTTTAAGGTTGCAACGATGAACGCTTGCCAAGGAGGAAGGATTCTGGGTCACCAAACATTGGGAATCAGGAGTAGCCCTTGTTCTCTTTGTTCTAGATCAGGCACCCCCAAACTCGGCCCGCCAGATGTTTTGGGACTACAATTCCCATCATCCCTGACCACTGGTCCTGTTAGCTAGGGATGATGGGAGTTGTAGTCCCAAAGCATCTGGAGGGCCGAGTTTGGGGGTGCCTGTTCTAGATGTTCTATTTGATGAACCCAGCCCTGGGATCACGTGTGTGAGGAAGGAAGGGCTAGAAATTTGTTTATATATATATATATACCCCGTTTGATTGCTTAAAAGAAAAACCTCTTAAAGCGGTTTACAAAAACGAAGGAAATCCATCTTGTTGCATCTCTTACGGTTCTTTCGAGTACAGATGAGCGTCTTCCCCCGTTGAAATCAATGGGGATCCAAACGTGTTTGGCTCGCGTCTGGACTGCTTAAATTCTGGACTGTCGTGGGTGCGACCTTGGGGTGGGCGGCCCTCTCCACGGGGAAGGCCTTGATCTTCCTTCCCCCTCCCGACTTGGCTACTAAATGTGACCCGATCCGAGGCACATTTTCCCCGGGAGCAAGTCCCCGCGTGCCCAGCGCCACGAGGCTTGGGGGGGAGGCCAGCTTCCTCTGCCGGATCTGCCCCGAAGCCCCCCACTCTTCCCCCTCGTTCTTAGGCTGCTGGCCCCAGGGGATGGCGGAGACGGGCGACGGGGCTGGCCATAAGAGAACATGACCTGTTGGAAGGCGGCCTGCTTCCCACAGCTTGGCCACGATCCAGGCACGATCTCTGGGCCGGAGCCGAGAGCCCCGCAGCCCCTTCGCAGGGTTTTCCTCAGCGACTGGCCTCGGGACTCAAAGCCGGCCCCTTTCCCTTTCACAAGGGCCCGAGTTCCGAGAGAGCGCTTCCCTTCTCCTGCCCTAAATCTCCCAGCATGATCTACCTTCACTGGGCGATCGAGGAGGATCCACTGGCGGCGACGGGAAGCTCCCCGCCCACCCACTCGCTCTGTACACCTCCATCGCGCGCCTTTGCCACTAAAGGAAACACCAAAAGAAGCCGCCTTCTCCTGTCAGGGCTGCGCCTCTCGATCTTTGGGGAACCTTTTCCTGCCCTACAAGAGCCTTTCTGAGGCGACCATGCCCAGCGCGAGAGAGGAGAGAGCGAGCGGGGGCCTGAGGCGGCCTCCTGGCCGAGGTGTTTCCGTTCCCTTTCCTGAGGCGGGCGGGCTCCGTCTCTTTCGGGGCCTGCGCCTCCTCACCTCAGGGACCCCTTCCCTGGTCAAGTCAAGGCCGGCTGAGGAGGGCGGGATGGCTCGGCCATCTCTTCCTCGCGGGTTTCAGTCGGGCCTTTGGGGCCAACTTCATGCCCATCCCCACCTTGCGGAGCTCTGAGCGAAACACCCACCCACTTCTTCTGTGAAAAGCTTTGGCACCCTGCATGACTGGGTGCCCTCCTCAAACGGGGCCCGGGCCTTTGGGCGAGTTCAGAAGCCGCTGAGGCCCACCGAGAGGCGGCGGGCAGAGGACGAGGAGAAGGAGCGGCCGCCCTGAACAGGCCACCCTTGCCGCGTCCAGCCGCCTGCCAGCCAGGCTTCTCCTCCTCGCGGCCTCCGGGGCTTCCGGCGACTCTCCCGCCTTCCCCGGCAGGCCGCGGCGACCTCCAAGCGACGGTTCGCTCTGCGGGGAAAGGGAGCGAAACCTGCTTGGTTAGGCTCCCCTCTTGTAATGCGCCCCGCCGACAAAATGGCGCCCCCGCCTCGCCCGGCAAGAAGGAGCGAGTGAAGCTGGGCCTCGGGCTCTGCTGCCCGCCTGGCGCTCGCCTGGCTTTCCTCGGGGCTGGGCTGCCCGGGCCTCCTCACAAGGGCCGGACTCCTCGCTCCACGGGACCTTGGCCTCGCCCGGAGCTCCCTCTTGAGCGGGAAGGAAAAGGCGCTTGGCGCCTCGCCTCTTGGAGGCCTTTCGAGGGCTCAGCACAGGCCACGAGGCCCGAAGGATTACTCTGGAGTGGATCGCCTAAGATCCAAGATGGACGCGGGGCGGGTGGAGCAGTTTGCTTTTACCCGCCCCTGGTTGGAGTTGCTCCTGTTTGTGCGTATTTACACCCCTCGCCCTGTTGGATAATGACCGCCTGCTCCCTGCCCTCCTTTCGATGGAGCCCCCCAATAGCATTTTTTTTTTTGCTGCTGCTGCTCGCACACACCAATGTCAAGCTGACCCCCAACTTTCCTTAGGCGGGCAGCATTTAGAAACATCACAAAAGTCGCATCCCCCATCCCTGTCGCCCCTACTTTTTGCATTCTCCACCCCGATTGTGCCTTCTTCTTCCCCAGGGCCTCTTCCACCTCGAGTCTGCAGAGACCTCGCGAAAATGATTTTCCTTTGCAGATCTGTTTGCATGCAACAAGCGCCGGAGAAATGGTTGCACATTTTGGGAAATGTTGGGCAGCTGAAGCAAGCGAAACCAGCCTTTCCCCCGGGACCAGATCACTTTATTTCAACGCCTGGCTTTCTCGTAACGTGTACTCGACACACTTGGAAAGTTCTCTGAGAGTCGTCAAGCTGCCCCGGGTTGCGAATGGGAAACAGAAGAGCTGAGTCTCCAGGGAATGTAAAGAAGGAAAGCCATCGCCATACGTGCTACATTAAGAATTATTGTTTTTTAATTGGTTTACAAGCTCTTATTACGAAAGTTCAGGATCTGACTACTTTAGGGCACAATGTTGCCAGAGTCGAGCTCAAAGTTGCGTCCCGTTGGTTTCAGCGTGAGAAGTTGCTCTTAAGTTCCCCCATTGCAATCCGGATCACGCTCTAACTTTGTTGGCCTTTAAGGTACCGCAGGACTCTGGAGTTTTCATCGGTTTGCAGAAGACGCTTTCCATGCTTCCAGGAAGAAGGAAGAGTGAGATTTGTTCCTTCTCTATTGGCCTTGTCATGAATTATCAATAATCAAAGACTCTCTTTGATTACTAATGATGCGTCCAGTTAATCATCTCTATAGTAATTTTTTTCTTTCACTGTGCTAGCAGGGTCTTCAGATGCAACGAATGAATACCATGCTGGAAGGATCTAGCATCTAGCATCTATCGATGATGGGGGAAATAGTTGTCGCAAAACTGATTAAAAATAGTTCACTGAAATTCATCTTTGATATAACATCATCGCCACGACAAAACTGACCTCATCTGATAAAATCGCCTAACAGGAAAACATTTGAAGGCCCATCATCTCAATATCGAAGCACCTAACTGCATATATCCGAGGTGGAATTACACAGAAATACATTAAATCAACCATTTGAAAACTACACAGGGAGAGAAAATGTTTGCAACCAAGAAAAAAAGTTGCACTCGACTGGAGGGGGAAATTAAACGGTTTCCATTAGTTTCCCCATGTTCGAGGCAGATCTCGCCCCCTCCCCACCCGCCCCCCGCGCGCGATTGGTTCGTTTTGCAAAAGACCTTTCCCTCGGCGGGGTTTGACAGCCGCGTCCCTTCGCCGTTTACTCAGAAGTATGTCTCACTGAAGTTCAGCGAGTACAGGATCGTGAGCACAGCGAGCTGCAGTTAATAGTTTTCTCGCGGAGCGAAAGGCAGCGAAGCCAGCGCGCGGTAGCTCGGCTGGGAAAGGGTTAACGGCCAGCGCCGGTCCGGGACCCCCAACTCGCGCCCAGATCGCTTTGCCTGGAAAAAATTAACAACTTCTTCGGGCTGCCGCGAGAGCCAATCAGGCGGCTCCCGGGGCAGAGCCCTGCCCAATGGGAAAGGCCGGCCCGGGAGCTGTCACTCACGGGAGAGGAATGACAGCTGGGCTCGCCTGAAAAAGGCCGAGGAGGGGAGAGGAAAGAAGCAGAGGTGGAGGGGGAACGACGGGGAGGGCCTGCCGAGGGGGGACCGGAGCTGGAGGAGCCGCGCCGAGCGGGCGCGAGCGCCCCAGGCAGACCCGACGCCTGCCGCGCTCTTTATGGGAAGACTGCGCAGGACGCCCCGGGGCCCCGACGGCGCCGCCGCTGCTGCTGCAGCCCGAGGAGAGGCGATGCGCTCGGCGAGCTGAAGGGAGGCTTCCCGCTGGAGAAGGAGCCCTAGGAGCGGGCGAGGGGCGGGGGCCGGAGACCGATGGCGGTGCGCAGCAGCAGCACCCCTGCCCCGACGCCCTTCTCCATCCAGGCCATCCTCAACAAAAAGGAAGAGCGGAGTGCGCGGGGCTTCCTGCAAGGCCGACTGCAGCCGCCGCCGCCCGCAGGGGGCGCCTCCGCCAGCCCCGACGTGGCGCCCGCCTGCTGCTGGAGGCTCTTCGGCGACGAAGCCGCGGCGCTGGCCGCAGCGCTGCAGCAGCACCAGCCTGCCTCCGCCTTGGCCCCCGCGGTTTCCAGGGCTCCCGGACTCGCCGTCTGGGATTCCGACTCGGTCCTGAGCGAGGAGCAAGAGGGCGACAAGGAGGAGGACGACGACGACGAAGAGGACGACGACGAGGACGGCAGCAAATCGCCCGCGGCCTCCCGGAGGCCACGAGAAGGGCAGTCCTCTGGTTCCGGCGCCCGATCGCTGTCGGAGGGCTCGGGCAGGGAGCCGCCGGGACAGGAGCTCCAGGAACGGTCCCCGGAGGGTCTCAGCGACACTGAGCTCTCAGCCCGAATCTCAGGTACGCAGAGATTACGCGGGAGTCCCAGGGTGGAGTTTGCGCTTTTGAAATCCGGATTAAAATGGCCAACCCATGGCGCTTTGCTCACAGGAGCTGATTCCCGGAAATGCCAGTTCCGCGGCACCTATTAAGCACGAATTGGAATTGCAGGGCAGGGGCGGGGGGGGGATGAGAATGCCCATCCTAAATCATCGCGTGTTAACACAGAGAAACACGCACCCTCCGTGTGCCAAAGGAACGAATCTGCCCCACTGATCTGGAGACGCCAGTTAGCCTGTTAGGGCCGCTTTAGGGTTCCACTTTGAGCGAGAAGATCCCTGCCCTAGGAAACATGCTGTAGGGGGAACGATCCAGCTACTATTTTAACGCTGCAGTCCTTTGCACACTTACACCTAGATCGAAGGCCCACTGCAGTGCACTTAGACTTGGTCCCGAACGCACGCGCGTAAGAGTGCGCTGTTCGTCCGAATGGAGACGAATGGGAAGGAGAATTTAGCACTACTGACTGCGTCTCGCTCTCTCCTGCTGCTCATGGTGGACAAACTCAGGCTGAGGCCACAGAATTCTGGACCCTTCCAGCTTGCGGCCCAGGGAGTCATGTTTTTTATTGTTTTCTCCATAAAAAGCGCCGTGCATGTCCTCAATCGGCGCGTAGAAGGTTTTACTGTAGCTCTCGTCCCGAAGGCTTAAGTGTATTTTTCGATTGCCTTTGTTTAAATAGTGCATCTCAACGTTACAAGAAGAGTCTATTGATGTTCAAGGCTACAACCCCCCTCCGCCCAAAAAAGAAATCTCTTTAAAAATATTAATTAAATGGGTCACGATCTTCAGGTCTCGCACCTTGCTACATTTTAAATGAAGCCTTTCAGCGCCTTGGTTATTCAAAGCTTAGGGCCCATGGAAAGCGAGTTGCTTTTAAAACACTGGAGCATAAAGTTGCAGCTTATTTATTTTCGTTTTTGCTTTGCCCGTGTCTCTTGCAGTCCTGCAAACAAACGCGCGCACACCAGCCTCGGAGTAATCTCCACTAAAATTACGGTGATGCGGACCCTTATAATCCCATCTTCCCGAACTCCATTCCCAACTTTATTACATAGAAATCTGTTTCTTTTTAATCCATAGTATTTCACTTAATTCGTCTACAGCACAACCCTAGGCAGAAATCCTATACAGAAATTGCTTCCGTTCAGTTCAGTGGGGTTAAGCGGGTACAGATAAGACTGCAGCATTAGGCTAGACAGACAGTGAGTCCATCACCCGCTGTTACTCCCAGTCCCGGCTCGCCCCAATCTGTAGGCCCCGGAGCTGGAGGCAGGCTGCAGGCCCTCCGTCCCAGAGAGCAACGGGCCTAGAGCCTCTTTCGCTTGAAAACGGCGACTCTCCTCGTTTCCTCAACCCCGAGGCGGCTCCTCTGGACGCAGACTTCGGGATGCGATCCAAAAGGATGCGAATTTGGTGGCAAAATCCGGGGCGGGGAGTCCCACTGCCTGGTACCCACTTACATGGCGACCCGGTTCCTCGCCCACGTGCCAGGGAGGGGCCGTGCTATAGGGCGCCTTGCCTGCGGGAAGAAGCAGCATCTTCGGGGCAGAGCCATTACCGAGAGCCGCACCCCACCCCCCAAAAAGAAGAAGTCAATTTGTTCCTTCCGGCCTGCTCCGGAAACCATGCAGAGGGCTGTTTTACTCCAGGGAGTTTCCCAGCCTTCAAGGGCGCTTGTTCGCCTGGTGGCCATTGCGGAAGAACCAAGGCTGGCAGGCCGGGCGAGGTCTGGGAGCAAAAGGACCCGCGGGAATGGACGTCCAGGAACGGAGGAGAAGCAAGTTTATTTCAGCCTCGAGGGCGGGAATAATAGCCCTAAAAACAAGAGCAGTAACCCCGCGATCCAGCCCAAGCTGCGGGCTTTCGAGCCTAGTCAGTTCTTAAACAGAGTTGCGCGCATACTTCAGACTTTTGCGCTTAACTTCGCTTAACTTCGCCGCCTTGCGTCCCGAATTTTTGTTTTCGTTTTTTTAATGTAAGCTTTGAGGTGCAGCTTTCACAAGGCAGGATCGTGCCTCTGAATCCATTGCCACGGGAAGAAGGGTAGGTCACCCGCCGCCGTAGATTAGTGGGAGAGCAAGCAAGTGATCTTTATTTGCGGGGGGCAGCTAAAATCCCTTTTCAGTTGCACGGTTCCAGGATTTCCAGTCACGTGAGCCGGATTAAATTTCGTGTAAGGGATACTTTGGCCGGTCCGATCCACAACCTCATTAAGCCCTACGTAGTACTGAGCACGATTTTAAGATCAACGGAGCTCAAAATACTTCGGTTAATCCGTATTGAGACTCGCAAAACAATAATCAGCTGCATCCACTGAAACCGCTTGTGCTACAGTATTTTGCTCTCTGTCCTGGGGACGAGCCCAAGAGTGCTGTTTACTCCCGTGTAAAACACAGACGCAGATCCTCCTAAATGCTTCTAGGCCCACCTCCGTTGCTTCGTTTTGGGTTTTCACGCCTGTGGCCGGATGTGGCGTGGTCTTGAGTGGGCTCGGCTCTCCGAAGCCTTTCCCTGCCTGGTTTGCCAACGGGGCTCGCCTGCCGGATCGCCGGGACTGGGGCTTCCCTCCTAACTCCGCAACAGTCCAGTTGCCGACTTTCATGCGTGGGTGAAAGAGAAAGTCTTTCTCCGCCCTGCGCTGAACTCGATGGGGGGGTGACCTCTATTTGGCGCTGTGCTGTAGGTAGAGCCCACCCACCCCAGCCCCGTTTTGAGTGCAGGGGCGGAGGACAGGTATCTCACTGAGACGGGAATCAGGTGCCCCCTGAGAGGGATGGGCGATTTTGGTTAGGTGCCCCTCCCCAAGATTCCCGAAGGAGGCCTTCCTCCTTGCCCCCCCGCCTCCTGGCTTTGCAGGCTCGCTGTCGGACTGCAGGAGCCTCCATCCGAACTCCAGAGGCAGCACCAGATAAAACTATGGGCGCGGGGGGGGGCACAGAAGGGACAGAGTATATGTCTTGGTGTGAAGTTGCACCACATATGTTAGGATCTCAAAGAAAAATAACTGCCTATTAATGACAAGACTCCAGCAATTGGGCGGGGGGCGAGTTCTTTTGGGGGTAGGGGAGGCGGCAGGGATGCATAGCCTCTGCCCGCCAGTTCTGCCCCTTCAAACGACGTCGTGGGTCCCTATCCTGCCTGGTTCCGAGGTCTGCCTCCTTCGCGGATGACCCGGCCCAACTCCGTGTCAGTATTTATATCCCGCTTTTTGACGACAAAGCAAACGCGGCTTGCCAGTTTGTGGCGAAACAAATTTAAATGCCGTCCGAACAGGGAAAAAAGGCAACCCAGCATCGACGAGAATGCGCTCGGCCAGAAAGCGTGTCTGAGGCGAAACAGTCTCCAGAGCCGGTTCCCAAAGCCCCTCTGCCCCTTCGAGGTCCTTGTTCGAGCCCCGTCTCTCTTCCGGCCTTCCTCCAGCCACTCTTCGAGGGCCTCGTGACCGGCAGGCCGATCTCCTCCGCCACGTTCCCGTTGCCCTCGGTGGGAAGGGAAGAGCCCCAGGCGGGTCCCTCCAGGCTTCCCCCGAAGCGCCTGGTCTGGCGGTGCTCCGCTTAGATCCTTATATAGGCTTGTGTGGTCTCTCGAAATGCAACGGGGTATAATCCCAGGCCGAGTGAGTGAGTCTCGTATAGGGCGCTCGCCTTAGGCTCTTTTCCCAAATGAAACTGGGGCGGCTGAAGCCTGTTCCCTGAAAGCGGAAAGGGAGCCGTCCGGAGACCGCCGCCCGCCTGCGACAGCCTTGCGTCCAGGCGGGCTTGTTTCGAAGGCAGTCTCTCGGGGTCAAGGGACGCAAGCTGTTTGAAATGGCATTTCTCCCTCTATTTACTGGAGTGCTGACAACCGACTGTGGTTTACGACGGCCGGCGGCCTTTGATCCGAATCCTGTTTCTTTCAGAGGCAAGCGTAATGTGGGATCCGAGGTGGGAAGGGTGGCCGCGAACCACAAAACACAGTCCTGGGCGTTGGGGATTCCAGGCGCGCAATGTCGCTCCGTCGGGCTCCGTCGCTCGTCCTAAGCAGAGGTGCCAGCGAAGGAGCGAAGTGGAGGCTCACTTCGAGCTCACTTCGAATCAAACGGACTTTGGCTCTCCGTGCTTTCTGAGTGTTTCTCAGAAGATCCTGCACTTCTGGCCAACTCTGGTTTCCAAACCCGTGTTACTATTGTGATTTACTCTCGAATGAGACCGGGTCACTGCGTGGGCATTTCAAAGGCACAAAGAAGAGGACTGGGTTGAGATGTGCAAGTTAAAAATGTGTGTGTGTGTTTCTGCGTGACACACATACACGAGAAATTTGCTTTTCTCTGCCTCTCTCTGACAAACACTTTGTGCCTCTCCAAATCCGAAACGTCGCCCCTGCGCGGGGTGCTGCCAATGGGTGCGAGCCTTTGAAAAGACGACCGTGGGATCCCCGCCGTGTGCGCTCCGGTTTGAGTCGGGTGTGGGTGGCGAGGGCATTTTGGGGGGTCCCCCAGCGCCCCGCCTCTTCTGATTCTGGATTGTTTGTTCCTCCACCCTGTTTCCCTCAGATCGCAGCCACCCTGACGACCTCGAGGAAGAGCAGAGCAACAGCAGAGGTGGCGGTAAGAGCTCCAAGGCCCCGTCGGAGGAAGACGAGGCGTCGGCGGCGGCAGCAGCTGGGTCCGGCTCGGCCCCGATGGCCGCTTCGACGGCAGCTCCGAAGCCGCGAAAGAAGCGCTCCCGGGCGGCGTTTTCCCACGCGCAAGTCTTCGAGCTGGAGCGACGCTTCAACCACCAGCGCTACCTGTCCGGGCCCGAGCGCGCCGACCTGGCCGCGTCGCTCAAGCTCACCGAGACGCAGGTGAAGATCTGGTTCCAGAACCGGCGCTACAAGACCAAGCGGCGCCAGCTGGCCGCGGATCTGCTGTCCTCGGCGCCGGCCGCCAAGAAAGTGGCTGTCAAGGTGCTAGTCCGCGATGACCAGAGGCAGTATCACCCGGGCGAGGTCCTCCGGCCGCCGCCCCTCCTCTCCCTCCAGCCATCCTACTATTACCCCTATTATTGCCTACCGGGCTGGGCTCTCTCCGCCTGCGCCGCGGCCGCCGGGGCCACGCAGTGACTCCCTGCCCTCGATCCAGGCTGGATTAAGAGCCGTGGCTTCGGACTAAGGCAAATGGACGAGACCGGGAGGGCGGGTGGGCAGGCGGGGGGCGGGGAGCAGGGGCAGAGGAGAACTGCACCCTGACCCGCTGCCTCTGAACCCCAAAGAACACCGTTATTTCATCTGCCCCTCCCCCATGTCTGTTGGTCTTCCAGCGAAACTCCAGTGGAGGCTTCCCGACGGGGCTGGGTGAATGTAAGGCAGCCTCCGCTCCACGCTTCTCTTTCTTCGAGGCGGCAAAAGGGTGAGGTTTTACCCAACACTCACCCCAGAAGAGCGCAAATAAATCCAAACCTATTTTATGCCTCGGCGCAACCCCGCCGGAAGTTCTCCGGCGCGAACTGGCCCCCTTGGGCAACGGAGGAGCCGCCGCCTGTGAGTCCCCGCTGCCCATTCACTTCCATGGGCCTTGCGCTGGGTAACTTCCCGCTGGATCGCGCCCGGTTTCTTCGAGGCGATGATGGGGAGGATTTGGGAGAGTTGATATTTTAGCACTTTGCGGTTGTATTAAATTGTTGTTGTTATTATGATAATTATTTTTATATTCAATGTGAATATTTTAGTCGGGCCTGAGGGAGTGGGGTGGGAACCCTCTAAAGGGAGTTTCAATACTATTCAGTGTCTTCTCTGTCTCTTCGCTGTCTCAGTTTCCCAGCAAACCTCGCTGTCATTCTCTCTGGTGGACGCCTGCATATTTGTGAATATTTGTTTGTTAATCAGTTCCCCTGTACCTATTCTTTTTTTAATTTATAAAGTTCAGTTTAACTCCTGACTACAGTCTCCTTTTTCTACGGCTGGCCTTGATTCTCAGGCCCAGTTTAATCTGACTTACCACCGAGTAAAATTAGTTAGAGCACCCTTTCCTGGGTGAATTCTGCTCGGTGCGATTCCTGTAAACGAAAAGTAACTTGACTTTATATGGGGGGTTAGCCCTGCTATGAATATAGTGGAATCTGTTTCCGAGTAAAAATGATAGTTTCCGGCTTCACTTTCCTTGTCTCGGAAGCAAACGTGTTCGATTTTGGATCGCTAAGAAGAGGTTCGGTGCATGACAATGTGGTCTTTAGCCCGGATCTGCTTGAAAGTTAATCTGTAGGTGCTCAACGAAGTTTGGTTCGGGTCCATTAGGTGTAGAATCCTACCTACCTTTCCCCACAGTGAAGTTCGTCTTTCCTGGGTGGTGGATCATTCAACTGAATGCCTCCACATCGCCCGCCGCTGTGACTCCATATCCATTTTCCATAGCAAAGGCAACGGCAGTGCCAATCTCTTCATACACGAAGTCTGTATTTTCACGGCCCACCCTACTTCTGTGAATGCACTGTGTGTGTGTGTGTGTGTGTGTGTGTGTGTGTGTTACTGTGCACTGCTTTAACTGTTTTTAATTCTAAAATTTAAATCGTTGTAACCCGCCCTGGCATCTGCTGGTGAAGGGCGGGCAATAAATTTAATAATAATCTTAATCCATTCCCTGCAAACCTTTGGGTAACAGCACTTATTCAAAGCGGATGGGCTGCCCAAGCCTCTGTGCATCCTTGCTTTTGAAACCAGGTACCACCGTCAAGGTTCCTTGCATGTAGAGGTAGCGAGATTTTATATACAGCATAGCTTTAGATTCCTAAACTGCTTCCTCTTCCTCCCACTGTACACACACACACACACACACACACACACACACACACACACACGAGTGGGCTGCGTTTCTCCCGAGGTTAACTAGCTGTGAAAGGTTTCTTTTCGCATCTCGGCTGACAATAGCTAAAGGAGTCCCGAGAAAATGGGCAGACTCCGATCGAGGTCGCAACGCAAGTCTACACAAATTGCTGGGTGGCGGAAATGTGTCGTATGGACACCTGAGAGAACTCGTGCTTGAGATCAACTGAGCAACTGGGGCCAAAGGGCAGCTATTTGGGTTTTGCCTATTAGCTTCGGGGAAGCGCCGACGTGTCCCACACGTTAGCCCAGCAGGGGCTAACCTAGGGGGGCTTGATGAGGAATTCATGGCCATTTAAACAGTGAGGCAATTGTACCGGGTTTCTTTCTTTCTTGGTGGTGGAAGTCCTTTGACAAGCATCCAAGCAAGCGCCTTGATTGGATGCTGCTTCTCTTAGCACAAGGGGATGTATTAATAAGTACATAACAAGTACCATCCTCTGTGGGTGCGTGTGGGCATAGGTGCGCCATTCCCTCCCCCGTGTGAGTGTGTACACACCCAGCCACCCTTGAAGAGTCACTTGGTGGGAAGCTTCCAGCTTTTGAACGAGTCTCCCTCCAAGTTCCTGCCCCGGCCCCATCAATGCTGAGTTTCTCTCCTCCAAAATTAAGCACCAGGGGAATGCATTTGCGGGGAGAGCGCGGCCAGCTCGCGGAGAGGGATTGTTGCGCCCGCAGCTGAGCCGGTGATTGGACGGTTTCGTTGCGCGCGAAGACGCCCATGACAGAGCTCTGGATGTCTCTCTCCATCCCCAGGGCGTCAGACTTCGGAGAATAAGGATTCCCACTGCCATTTATCCCAAGAGGTTTCAGATCCACCAGGTCTCCGCAAGAGCGGACTTCACCCCTTACCTCCTGGTTCAAAATCCTTAGGGCTGCAAGCTTTAGGTGGGAAAATAACCAGCTAGCTGCGCAATCCTATGCGTGTTTTCTCGGAAGAAAGTCCTATTGAGCTTACGGTTCCGATCCTAATTCCTGCGCACATTGAATGCGGATAAATCCCCTTGATCTCGGTGTGGATTACTTAGCCGAACATACTCGAGGGATTAGGCTAGAAAGCTGTATCTGGTTTATCGAGGAGAGATGGGTTTAATCGCAGAAGGGAACTTCAATCCGTGCTGCTGCGAGTTAAGGGCAGGAATGTTGGTTTTTCAAGCTATTTTTCGCCCAAAGTACTGGTGACTTATAAGGAGTGGGACGGGGAAAGTAAATAATATTTTAACCAGTTAGAGGCAACTTTGTTGATCATATCCTCAGTTATCTTGCAATTCCTCTAATATATCAAAAGGGTACCTAGTTTGAGCTTTTGGTAAGATAACTACCATTCTAATCAGTGAAAAGGCAGGGGACTAAACATGATGCGATAGGCTCTGCAATGCATTGCCTTGTCTAAGAGCTGCTATCCATACTTTCACTTTTATCTGGGGCGGAGAACCGCACTCAGGACGGGGACCATTTTATCAGGCAGCCTGCTGTGTTCTTATCAGAATACACCGCGCAGAGGTTCCAGAAAAAGCATTTGGCAAGATCCGCCTTGTGTTGGCCACAGAGCTGAACCGCAAAACCGTGAAAAGGCGGCAGTGTAAATCTCCTGTGAGGCCAACGGCCTTTTGCACTAAAAAGAGAAAACCATGTTCCGCTCTCCATCTTTATCTGCGCTCTTTCTACAGTGGCGTTGAGGAGGCAAAACGGCGAGGCTCCAAGCAGCGTTCTTGAGATGCAAATAAATCATTAAGAGTCGTGAAATCGGCGCAATTAAGTCCTGTTACGCTTTCGGCTCCTGATTACCGCTCACGATCATTCAGCCGAGGGGAACTTTCTTCCATGTAAGCACGGGTGGTCAGGGCTGGACAGGGCGGTGGCCGGGGAAGCCAGTCCAGATCTGTTATCTACGGACTACTGGGAGCGGAAAGAGTTGGCTCTGGAGCACAGGGAAGGGGGATGGGGGTTCATAACCAAGTAAATGGGGTTCACTTAACTACTGAGCGGCTCCATACACCCCGCCTCCTTTGCCTTTGGCCTTTTCCCTTTTCTTTCCAGTGCTGCGTTTTCCTTCTCGGACTTCCACCAGGCTGGAAGGAGAGTCAGTCGAGGCGGGGCCTTCTTGGTGAGAGGCAGCGTTTGTCTTGGGGCTGGGGGCGCCGGGGAAGGGGGAGGATTCTCTCCTTGCCTCGGGATTTGCTTTCAGGCCGAATTTTGCCCCTCCCCATCGGGGAAATGTTCAGCCGGACAACCCTGAGGATCTGTTTGTGGGCAAAGGTGGGGGCGATTTGTGTTTTGACTCCCCCAGGGCCCCAGCTTGACTCCTTCTCTCGGGCAAATGTTCCTGAGACTTTCAGAGCTCTGGCCGAAGGAAGAGCAGGCTTTGTGGGCCGCCGGGAGAGGAGGGGAGCCACGATTGCCCTTGAACGCCGCCCACCCCCCTGCCCCGCAAAAAAGCAACCGGTCCCGCGCTCCTTTCATTTGTTTTAAGGTGTTGCAGAGGTTAAGAAGGGTCTGCTGCCATGGGCACGATCCAGCCGCAAAGCAGCACATGTAAATCCTCTCGGCTTCTTTTCCACGAGGAAGGCTGAAGACAGGGTTTTTCTTATTGAAGCCCGTGTGTGTGTGTGTGTGTGTGTGTGTGTGTAAGAAACCCTGTATTGAAAGGGTCATGTTTACTCCGTCTTTCAACTGCTAATAATAGTTAACTCCCATCACAGTCACTAGTGACATTTACAGCTCGATCCAGGTCCCAATTAAACCGAATAGTTCATTAAAAGCCTTATTTATTTATTTATTTATTTATTTATTTATTTATTTATTATCGAGTCAAACAAGTTATTTTCAATACGAACATTCATTCCGATTTAAAAACAACCGCCGCCACCAAAGCGCTACCTCTGAGTCATCTTTTTTAAAAAAGCAAATTCTTACTTTTCTGTTAAAAAACAACCACCAACTCATATGCTTTATAATACTCTGAACTCAGGAAACAGGAGCAGCAACATCCTGTGGCATATTTTGATTTATTCCTCGCCAAGTACTATTGGGTCTCACGGAGCCGTTTTCTTGCAAATGAAAGGTGTGTCTCCAAGCCCCCTTAATGGGGACAAGGCCCCTTCCGCCCCCTGGATTTGAATGGAGTCTGGGTTGCATCGTAAGACTTTAGGGTTCGACCCATTTGTCCGAGGATGTATTTGTGCTGGGGAGGCTAACACTTATTTGACAACGCCATAGAGGATTAGAAAATTATGGTAAGGAGAAAGAGAGAAAGAGAGCAGATACTACGTATTTATTTTCCCCTCTTGAAGGGGCTGCCTTGGAGATTAGAACGTGGCTCTAAACCCCACCAGATATAACAAAGAAAGAGGCTATTGTGTTATTTATTTTACGTTTCAATCCCACCTTTCCTCCAAGGGGCTCAAGCCGGCTTGCGCGATTCTCCCCCCGCTCCTCTTTCTCCTCACAACGACCCTGTGAGGTAGGTTAGGCTGAGAGACAGGGGCCGAGTGGGGTGAAAGCCCTGGTTGTCCAGCTCCTAGTCCAGCCCTCGAGTCCCTCAGATCGTTCTCTTCAGAGGCTGCGGAAGAAGCAAGGAAGCCCTCCTCCGTCGCCGGCGCTCGCTGCTTGGGACTTCCCAGTGGCATCTGCCCAACCGCTGTGGGAGGCCGAATGCTGGGCTTGGTGAACCCTTGGTCTGACCCAGCAGGGCGGCGGGCCTTCTCACGTTCTTAGGGGGTCTCACACACATGTTTTTCCTTCCAGCGAAGCGTGCAGGAATCGCAGTTTCCACCTGTCTCGAGAACGCCGAGGCCTCTCTGGTCGCTTTCCAGGCAGGGAAAGAGGGCGAAGGAAGGGAGCCCGAGGGGCCCGTCCGCCCATCCGACGGCGGCTGCCCTTCCCTCCTGGGCGCTGGCTGGGAAACGCGGAGCCCATAAACGGTAGGCCGGCGCTTGCAAGAGAGCGCCAAGAGAAGGGCGGGCGCCTCCAGGCCAGTTGATTATTGAGGAATTTCTGGTGCAGCATCAGGCTCGCATCAAAATTCGCATATTATTATGAGTAATAAACACATTGGCA